TTTTGGAGCTTTGGAGCACTTCATGCTTCCTTCTGCTGACCAGCTTTCTGAAGATGCTGATTTCATTTTCCAGCAGGATTGCCAACACTCCCACACTGCCAAAAGCAAAAGTTGGTTAAAAGACCATGTTGTTGGTGTGCTTGACTGGCCAGCAAACTCACCAGACCTGAACCCCATAGAGAATCTATGGGGTATTGTCAAGAGGAAAATGAAAAACAAGAGACCAAAAAATGCAGATGAGCTGAAGGCCACTGTCAAAGAAACCTGGACTTCCATACCACCTCAGCAGTGCCACAAACTAATCACCTCCATGCCACGCCGAGTTGAGGCAGTAATTAAAGCAAAAGGAGCCCCTACCAAGTATTGAGTACATGTACAGTAAATTAACATACTTTCCAGAAGGCCAACAATTCACTAAATTTTTTATTGGTCTTATGAAGTATTCTAATTTGTTGAGATAGTGAATTGGTGGGTTTTTGTTAAATGTGAGCCAAAATCATCACAATTAAAAGAACCAAAGACTTAAACTACTTCAGTCTGTGTGCATTGAATTTATTTAATACACGAGTTTCACAATTGGAGTTGAATTACTGAAATAAATGAACTTTTCCACGACATTCTAATTTATTGAGATGCACCTGTAGTTAATTTGCTCTTTTTTTACTGACTGTTCATTTGTCTTTAATGATGTTATATATCCTAATATCCCTATATTTGTTTTGCTAGTTTTTGCTGTGATATCGAAATTGGAATGGAGAAGTGTAAAATTTAACTAGTATCTAAAATGTTGGTGTCATATAAGCTTACTTACTAGAATACAAGATAACATGGGTCAAAAACGATAACACTTTTTTTTTTTTTGTGGCAGGGCCAGTGAAAATATTGGCAAAGTAAAAAAAAAACTGAACCACTGGCCCAACAGAAAAAATCCTTAGCGTTGAGCCCTGTAGTGTATATGATAGTGTATTCAGTGAACAAAATATATTGGATTAGTTGTACAGCCTAAGTTTCATTTCTTTTTAGGTTAAGGATTCAAAAAAGCAATAGTAATAAGGATGCAAGCATCATGCTTGCCTAGCGAACACCACTAATGAGGTACAAGTCCCTCCTATTTTTAGATATATCACCCATGTACTGTCACTGCATTTCTTTACACCATCACATTCTAGAACTGTGTTGAACATTCAGTGCAGGTGTAAGGAATGAATGCAAGTCAAAACACTTTCTCTAATTAAAAATGAATTTAAACAACAGGGAAAATGATCAACATCTATCTAACCTCACTACTGAAAACATTCTAAATAAATAATATTATAATATTTGTATAATATAATTTTGGTTGTATAATACTACTTTCCAAAAAAAAAAAAAAGGACAAAATGTTCCACAGCAGCTCACCTTCATAGTTGACCTGACCATCTCCATCGATATCTGCCTCTCGGATCATCTCGTCCACTTCCTCGTCTGTCAACTTCTCCCCCAGATTGGTCATGACATGACGGAGCTCGGCTGCACTGATGTAGCCGTTTCCATCCTGAGAAGAGAATACTACGCACATCAGGTTCACATTTTTTGTGATGTAGAGCAAATATTGCGTTTGACCTCCAGATTAAGGTTAAAAGTAACTAAATGCAACTAAAAAAAAAGCTGATAAACTGGACATCTGCAAGTGTTAAACATACAGCATCTACTGTAAATTGATGAAATGCTTCACATTTTTCTTTAGTCTTATTTAATTGTTCTTTTTGTTCTCATGTCATGTATGTACAGTGCACAGCATAAATGATTACACCCCCTCTGAATAAATATAAAAGATGTATTTTCTTAATGATCACTAATATAATTAATATAATTCATGGAAAGATGGCAAAATTGAAACATAGTAAACATACTTCATAAAAACAACAAAATAAATGCCAATATTTTCTGTACAACTAGTAAATTAGCCAATTTTGTTTAAATGAAGGATTGCAGAAATGAGTACACCCTAGATTTAATTCAGAAAATGTATAATATTATATGTCCTTAAGAACTTAAAGTATACTGCTCTGACCCTTCTTGGCACTGAGTGTACAAGTTCATGACAAATTGTCACATCTGTCCTGTTTAACTCCTGGAGAACGACCTGCTTGAATGCTCTGGTCTTTAATGGGGAGTGTTGCTCAGCTCGTCTCTACAGAATCTCTCACAGCAGCTTAAGAGTGTTAAGATTGAGTGAAATACATGTACTCGTCGTTTAAATTAACGATCAATTAATAGATTAATCGTTAACTTTAATGCAGCAAAATGTGTCTATTGCAGCAGCAGAGTCACCGGCATGACAAGATGTGCAAAAGCCACAAAAAAAATACGCTTTCTCACCCGAATTAAAGGGGTTTTAGTCTGAATAAAATGCTAGTAGCAGGATTTTAAAATGAATAGATGTGATGATCATTTGATAAAATGAAGAGAGCGCGCCATACGTTTGAGATCATTTTACTTTGTTGACTGTTTCCAATCCCGTCACGGAGACCGCTGAATGCGCCTCTTTAAATGGTTTCGTGGTGCTCGTTATTGTATTTTAAAACACTATTGCAATGTTTTCAACTGACATTACGGCATTTAAAATAAAATGATCCCAAATGAAACTGTGGCGCGTGTGGCTGTGCTGCGCAGTCAGTGAACCGCTTCCATCAGCGCTGCTGCAGCAAAACACACTGTTGCTAACATGAAACATTTTTATGTGAGTATTATGATTAGTGCTTAATTTGATCCTGCTGGATCCTGTTCCGGAAAAACGTCAGATTTTAAATTTTTAACCTAAAATGTATATCATTTTGTCACGGGTCAACTTAAATACAAATAGCACATTAAAAATGCAAGTTAAAAGTTACACACTTTTTTTGTGCGCGCACTGTACAGGTCTGGTATAAAGAATGTTTTTGCTCAGGTGGCTGAAATGTCCACCCAGTAGAGAAAAGTTTTGCCCAGCAAGAAAAAAAAATTAGAGGGAACATTGTACCTCACCTCAACAAACAACCCACAAGCAGTCCACGATGGAGAGGTACTCAGCAACAATGTCTTATGAGAAATCCTCCAAGCGATACAATGATATAACCCATGCAATAGCGTACTACATTGCCAAAGAAATGCTGCCATTCAGCATGGTGAAGAAGTCAGGCTTCAAAAGACTTCTTAGCGTGGTTGATCTGTGCTATGCTGTCCCGGGCCGCAAGTATTTTACAAAGACTGCTATTCCAGAACTGTATTCAGAGTGTAGGCAAGCAGTGGAGAAGGAGCTGTCCACCATCTCATATTTTGCAACAACTGCAAACATCTGGAAGAGTCGCACATGTGACCCGTACATAAGTGTGCATTTCATTGACGGCGATTGGAATCTTAAGAGTAAATGCTTGGAAACGGCATATTTTCCCGAGGGAATTTATTGCACAAAACTTGTCTGATGCGCTGGTCTCATGGGGTCTGCATAAAAGCAACCAAGTGTGCATCACCACTGACAGTGGGGCGAAAATAGTGAGAGCCACTTCACTGAACAAATGGACTCGTTTGCAATGTTTTGGCCACCGCTTGCATTCAGCTATTGGTAAGTAGCGTTGTCACTTAACTTTTTAAGTACAATATTGTAAAAACACATGTTGTCGTTGTCATTACTTATCGGTCTTTTGTCATTTTTACAGTGTATTAACACTAATATGAATACAAAATCTAATAAAACTAATACGAGTATAAAATTAGAAAAGCACAGTTAAGACATGGCCAACAATTATGCAAGTCCTTTCCTTCTTAATTTTAATAATACAATTGTTTTTATCATTAAACTGTCATGTTAATAATTTAAAATTATAATATTATTATTTTTTTTTTATTTATTTACTTACAGTGGCAGCAGGGAAGGACAAAAGAGTTGAAAGGGCCATCGGCGTGTGTAAGAAAGTGGTGGCAGCACTTTCTTATTCATGGAAGAAAAAGAGAGATCTGGCAGCAGCTCAGGAAAAACTCAATCTCCCCAAACATCAGCTTGTGACAGAGTCACCCACCAGATGGGGCTCACGCCAGAAGATGGTTGCAAGAATACTTGCAGGACGTTGACGTCTTAGAATCTGTGCACGAAGCAATAAGTCCCTAACTGGAGTTCACAGATTCCCGTTCTGGGGAGTCATATGTGAAGCCTGTTCTCCAGCTGCTGAGAACAAAATTACTGAGTGCTAATGAACAGGACACTCAACTCACTAAAGACTTTAAGACCAAAATCATGGCATACCTTGATGAAAAATATGCAGAGCAGGTCACTGATGACCTACTCGATGTGGCTACTTTAGTTGACCCGAGATTCAAAGCTCAGTACATCAAGTCAGACAAGGTAGAAGACATTAAAAAACGGGCACTTGCTGAAATGATGGATGATGACCAAGGCCAACCCCAGGCAGAGACTCTGGTTGAAACAGAAGCAGCAGGTGCAGAAGGAGGAGTTGCTGCTGAACCACCTCCACCACTGGGTATGAAGAAGCAACGAAAGTCTTTGGGTAGTTTCTTCAAAAAGCAAAGCCTTAGCGCAGATGCCTTACCTCTCACTGAAAGACAGAAAGCTACCTGATGTCTCCTGATGCTGACAGTGAGTCTGAACGGCTGGAGTGGTGGAGGCTACATGAGCACAACTTCCCGAGAGTGAGCAAGCTTGCAAAAAAATACTTGTGTATCCCAGCCACCAGCACCCCCTCTGAAAGAATTTTTAGTACAGGGGGTAAAATGTGGTCACATGTACCGGGGCAGCATTAAAACCAGAGAGAGTGAACCAACTTGTCTTCCTTGCTCACAATTTATAATGAAGCTATGTTTATGTGAATATTGATGTTTGGTTGCTGTACTTAAAAGCTGAGGTTGGTTTGTTAATTAGATTTTATCTTGTTTTGTTAAGTTATAGAGGTTTGTATTGGTATTACTTATTACAGATGTTGTTGATCTACCTCAAAGTTTGCCTTGATTGTTCTACGTTTACATTACATTGATTGAACACATTTTGTAACATTTTAAGTTCAAGAGTTTGTTTAACACTTCATTTTTTATCTTAAGACATAATGAAGATATTTGTTTACATTTTTTGTTTTTGACTGCAAAACTAATTGTATTTGCTGTTTGCCTTAATAATGTGGGTAAATTAAAATACAGTGGTTAAATTCAAACTTTTCTACTTTTCTTTTTTTTTAAAGGTTATTAAAATGTTTCAATAATTATCGATACCGAACGATATGAAATATTATATCGTGATAATGTTTTTATATATATAACTATATTAGGGCTGGGCAAGTTAACGCGTTATCGCATTAATTAAATAATGCCGACAATTATTTTATTCCGCATTAATGCAGTTTATTATTATTATTATTTTTATGAAAGCCCGTTGCTCACTGGCTCTGAACGGGCTCGTAATCACGACTTCATAAGTGGGAAACAGGAAGTTTCCGATAGCACGTGAAGACAGAAGAGAAGCGCTCTCGCTCAGCACAGTGAAGTGCATCGTTTTGTTAACTATGTGGTTTATTATTTTGAATTGTTTGGGACGCGGTGACACACGACCCTCTCACAATTTATATATGCAATCGTGCTGCAGGTATCAGAAGGTCCGCGCTCCGGCCCACCTCTTCCAACCGAGTCAGGGACGGTTTAACGAACATTTAAGTTGAGATTAACAAGAAATATTTTAACTGCTACTATGTAAAAGGAATACTGCTGTAAAAAAGCACCTTATCTGTTTAAAGTGTTTGCAAACCAAATGTTATTGCACTTTTGTTCATATAGCAGTACTTTTAAATGAAAAAAGTGCACAATACACTACTTTTGAATTCATTATTGAATTTTGTGCATAATGCGATTAATCGCAGAAAATCGTGCGATTAAAAAAAAATAATGAATCGTTGCCCAGCACTAATATATATATATATATAAAACATATATATATATACATACACATTACAAGATACACTCTCTCTATGTATTATTATATGCACGCACTGTATACAGACATTGCCAGATATACTGTAAACATGTTACAATGGTTGACACTGTAAACAGACTTTGTGGTGACAATTATAAATAAGGGACTACTGATATAAACTTCTTGTATTTTATACGTATAATAAGTAGAGTAATTGCAACATAAAGTGGAGATAAGGTTAGAAACAGCCCGCCAACCCGCCAAATGCGGGTAAAAATCAGCTGTGGCGGGTAACGCTGTCAAATCACTAGCCAATTTGGCTTGTTACTTTTCGTAAGTTTTGTTTACTCATTAATTTCTTGGGGAAGTTCATGCAAGCCAAATCTGCACAGGTTTAGCGCAAAATCGTGAGACATCATGACATTATCGAGTATATTGCAAAAACTAAACAAAACACACCTACAGAGGCACGCATACGCGACATGATTAAGTCTGGTTAGACCAACACAGGCTTTAGTGCGAGTGCACATTTAGAGTGTGTTTTTTCACTGCATGATTCAGTCTATTAATATGCATTAAGAATGATTACATAATTCAAGATA